CGATTATCCTGCCTTTTAATCGATTAATCCAGTGTGTTTTTGATAAAAATGAGTTTTTGAAGCTTCTAAAGAGTAGACTATGTGTTAGCTATCTTAAACTCTAATATTACAGACTCAAAATCATCAAAACAAAGTTATTACATTATATTACAAGTCTTCAAATGTTTACTTCCTTTGTTCTTGAATCATCATCAAAATCTACAGGCTTCATATCCATGTATGTTCAACATTCATATCCTTGTATGTTTCAACATGTAATAGCCAACATGAGTGACTAACTTCATTCTCTAGGGATTTGGTGCACTTCCTTTGAACTCTTTTGTATCATGGTGATATTTTCAGATATTAATCTATGTTTTGATGTTGTTATTCTTATCCTTTGTGCTTTGGAATGATTTATTCTTGATGTTTGGGATATGATTGGAAAATATATCTCAAACCCTAGATCACGGTAAGAATATTTGTTATGTTAATTGCCATGAATGAAATGAATGTATCAATTGCTTAACACCCTAAACCTAATGCTAGAAAATCTCTTAATTGTGTGATGAATCAACATTTATTAGGTTTTCTTATGAATTTTATGTGTGAGGAATCAACATGGATGATTTGAGTAGGTGGCATCAACATTGTTAGGTTAATTGACGTTCTTAATTGACATAGCCATTACAAAAGAGGGATAAGGAAAGAAACCAATCCTAAGTGCTTTTAATTGATATTTTCTCAACAAATTACAGTTCTTTGTCATTTAATTTCAATTCAACTCTTATGCAAAACCCATTCTGTTTTAATCCACTTAGTAAGCATATAATTAGGAATTTTTATTGAAACCGTTCCTCATGGGATCGACTTTTATTTAATCGAAATACTATACTGGGATTGATAATTTTGGTACGTTTGCCAACAATTCAACAACTTGACTCTTTCTAAATGTTTTTTTTTGCAGTTATCACATTCATGTACACAATTCTTATTATTCATTTCTAAAGTTTTCAACTTTGTTTTCAATTTCTCATTTTCATTCTCAAGGTGTTCTAATTTGTTTTCCAGCCATCTGTTTTCACCCTTAAACTTGTTATTAGAACGTGTTAATTTTTTTTTGCTTCATCATGTATTTCATTAAAAGCATCCAATAGCTGAAATAACTATTTTTATTATTAGATGCAAGGGTACTTACACTGAATTTGCTTGAGATTTTTGTATTTTCCATATTCAATAACATGTAGGAATATTCCCTTGTTCTTGTTTCTTGAAAGGGTTGACAGTAGATTTGTTAACAGATTTGTTTTTATATTTAAGAAATTTAGAAAATCTTTTACCAACATATTCAAGTTTTCACTGTCAAAATCTTCATCTTCATTTTTATGCATAAAATAATTCTTCTTTGTAGTAATCTTTAATGCAACAATATGTTTTCTTTCACTTTCTTCTTCTTCTTTGAGTCTTCCAAATTCTAACTCATGTTCCCTTAGCTTCCCAAACAGTGTAGTCATATTCATTGTTGTATGATCTCTGGATTATGAGATAGTAGTCACTTGAGGTTGCTAATTTCTTTCTAAGCTCTTTAATCTTGATATTCAATTCCTCTTTGCCTAAGATCTTTCCAAGAGTCATCAAATAATTTACAATATGAGTAAACCTTTTATGAACATCATATATGTTCTCTCTAGTCTTCATTATAAACATTTCATACTCCAGTCTCCTATCTTGCTCTCTTTACATCTTCAGTTCCTTCATAAGTGACTTCAAGAACACTCCACATTTCTTTGGTTGTTTCACAAACAGAGATTTTATCATAGCACTATTATCATAGTGTAGAAAAAATAATATTCCTAGCACTAATATCATATTGTACTCTTTTATTTTCATTTGGAGTCCATTCATTAAAATATTTGATTATTGTCACACCATCTTTAGTCTTGATTGGTTGAAAAAGACCATTAACATTAGCATCCCAAACACCTTTATCAATATATTCAAGAAAATCTTCATTCTTATTTTTCAAAATGTATAATTTTCACTAGAAAATAAATGAGGTATGTTTATAAATGTCCCTTCAAAAAAAGTTTGAGAAATGTTAGTCATTCTTTTTGGATCAAAATCAATTAACTCTCAATAACCCAGCTCTAAACCAATTGTTGGAAAAATCTGAATGACTAGACACATCCAAGAGGGGGTGAATTGGGTTTGTAAAATCTTTTTGCAATCTAATCAATGAATTAAATCTTTTTCAAATAATCAAATTGAAAAAGAACTTCAAATATGTTAAAAGTTTCAAGAACACCAACATAAAAAATATATTTTATGGGTCAAAATCCATCAATAAATGTTGGTGTTCTTGAAACTTTATTTATATACAAAGGCTAAGGAAAATATATTGCTATTGACAGGATTCGAACTCATACCTTAGAGTTAGAGACTAATACTCCAACCACTAAACTACTATAATTTTTTAATAATAATTTACAAATAAATTATATTTATATATTTATATATTTATATATTTATATATTTATATATTTATATATTTATATATTTATATATTTATATATTTATATATTTATATATTTATATATTTATATATATTTATATATATTTATATATATTTATATATTTATATATTTATATATTTATATATATTTATATATTTATATATATTTATATATTTTTATATATTTATATATTTATATATTTTTATATATTTATATATAATTAAATATTTATTTTTTAAAATTATTTAATTTAATAAATTATTATAAATTAACCTAATTATGATTAAATTAAATTATTAAATAAAAAATATTTTATTTTTTAATTAGGTGAATAATTAAATTATATTAAGTAATTATTATATATTTTTATCGACGGATATATCCGTCGGTAACTAATTGTTAATTTACCGACTGAAAATATCCGCTCGGTAAATAATTGTAAATTTACAGATGAATTTATCGACGAATATATCCATCGGTAACTAATTATTATTTTACCGACGGATATATCCGTCTGTAAAATCAAATTCCACAAATATTTTATATCCGTTCGACAATTTCCGTCGGTAATTTTCGCTCGGTAATGATTATTTTCCGATGGCTACAAATACGTTGGAAATACGCGATTTTCTTGTAGTGTGGAAATAATTTTGAAAATATTATGTTATTTTTTTTATCTAAATGCTATCCTTCAAATTATTAGATATTGATATTTAAAAATTAAAAATTTATTTATTATATTAACTAAATTTAGAAATTATATACACTTGTTTTTTTAATTTAAAATTATTTTTTAATTTAAATTTATTTTTTAATTTTAATTATGAAGATTTAATTATTAATAAATTAAAAATTAGATTATGATTTAATAATTAGAATCTAATTCATAATTAGTAATGAAAACCTTTATAATTAAAATTATAAACTAATTTAAATTATAATTCAGAAATTAAATATTTTTAATTTCAAATTAGTCAATGTTTAATAAATTTTTTAATAAATTTAATAAATATTATTTTATGAAAACTAATTTATATTTTTTTCTTTTCTAAAATTAGAGAAATAATAATAATAATTTCACTCTCTTAAATTACAAAATATTTTTTAAAATTTCTATTTTTTTTCTAATCATTTAAGTTCTCAATGAAAATGAATATTAGTCTCTGAAACTTAATATTTTAAAACCATTTAAATAAAAATTAATTTTAATCTTTCAAGTTTAAGAAGTAAATTTAAAAATCTACTCTATAATAATTTCATTCTCTTTTGTTTTTCATAAAATATATTGTGAATCGGTTACGCGAGAAATAATTTCAACCATACAATATTAGAGGAACAGCCTAGAAATCTCTCCATATTGAAACTAACAGCAAGTAAACAAACCAAAAAATAATATAAAAGCAATTTACATAACTAGTCAGGTAAAACGGTAATTTACTCCCACCGAACTCCAATGATTGAAAGTTTTTTTTTTTAATATAAATAAATTACACCATAACACAAGGTTCTCCGTCCCAATCCTTGCTCCAATCCTCGTCACTCACAAAACACAATACTTGCCTATGTGGTCGAGTGGAGGCACCAAAGTCAGATCCATCATCACCCACATCACCTATTAATTATTAATTTTCTGTTTTTATTGGATTCGGTTTGGAGAATTTGGTGAGGAGAACCCGTAAAGGATCTGGGATGTACCATACACTATTCGATCTTTTGATTTTCGGCGGCAAAAAGATTGAAGAGACTCAGTGGGAGAAGGAACGATAAATATATACTAATATTACTGTTTTATACACATACTTCTAGATTCTTCCATTATCTCTATTCATCTTCCTCCTTCAGATTTATCGGGTATGTATATGAATGAATAAGCTATTAAGAGATCCATTTATAAATTTCTGTTCATCAAAATAATGGTAATTAGTGAAACTCACATCAATTTTGTTATCAAATTCACACATATAACAAATATCGTGCAAAAATCTTGCATGTTCTTCCTAATAGTATAGATATTTCTATAGAAGCTCTTTTAACTTTGTAATAGAAGCTGTAGAAGCTCTTAAACTTGCAAATGTAATTCACTTGAACTTCTACATAAAAATTATTATTAGAATGAAATAGGTTGTGATAATTTTTTATGTTCATATAAATTTTTTTTTTACATTGAATTATTTCTTGTTCTCGTGATGAAGTTGATAAGGGCGATGAGATTCTTATCTAAAATATTAAGAATTTTTTAAGAGTTTGATTTATAGAAAAATATAATATTTTTTTTCTAGTTTTAAATTTTTACTCAAATAAAAATTCCATATATTGATATCTATCTTTACGACCCCAGTCTTGTTTTAACCAATGAAATTTAAAAAATTTCCAGTAATTCATAATTATATATTTTTTAAATAATTGAGCGTAATTGTACTTGAATCAACATAATCATATATTCTTATTTAATTTGATGAGTTTGTAGATATTCATATCTAAATTTTGTGAATACTGAAGCAGGAGAGCATGGCGGCGAAGGTTTTAAAAGAGACAAAGTCGATGACAGCGGCGGAGATGGCAGCGGAGACGGCGGAGACTGTGGTGTCGTCGGTGAAGTGCTGCTGCTGCGGGTTGGTGGAGGAGTGCACGCATGCATACATTGGGCGCGTGAAGGAGAAGTACGGAGGGCGTTGGATTTGTGGGCTGTGTGCGGAGGCAGTGAAGGAAGAGAGGGAGAGAGAAAATCACGATAACAACCGACGAAGCGCTGAAGCGACACATGAAGTTCTGCCAACAGTTCAACTCCTTCACTCCTCCCGACAGCACCAACGAGGATTTCATCCTCGCCGTCAAACAGATCCTGTTCCGAACTTTGGATTCTCCAAGGAAAGACCGTTTCAGTTGTCGCCCACTTGGGAGATCTCACAGCTGCTTCTCAACCATGCAAGGAACGCATGAGACCCACACCGATTGATCACCGCCAAGGTTCTCTCTCCTAAAAGAAAAGGAGTGATCAATCGCATTTTCATTCATACAAAACTTAGATTCAATTTTTTAAATGTCTGTAATATTATTATTCTTTTATGTGAGAATTGAAGTTTTATTTCGTTATTTTAAATTATTGGTAATAAACAGTATGTATATATATATATATATATATATATATATATATATTCATGGTTGTGTGTGGATAGTGATCAAGGTTGAGTTGTTAATCTTAGTTGTGTTTTGTAGTGACGTGTTGTGTTGTGTTGAGAGTGGTTGGGTTATGGTTTAGGTTAAGTGGTAAGGTGTTGGTTGTGTTTTGTTTGACATTTGGGATTGAGTGGATGATTGTCGACAGGAGTCTTCCTTCCCTGACTTCAATCTAAATGTCACTTTTGGTTACTAGTAATGGAATTTCAGTTTCTTCTTGGTTGGCCTAAAATCAGCTCTCAAAATTTCTTCCAAGATTTCTTTTTCTACCTTTCATCATTGAAATGGTTATAGTAATGTTTTACAATGATTCTTAATGCCTTATCATTTTTTTTTTCTTACACTACTACAAAATATATTTTTTTATGTCATCATTTAACGTCGGTTATAATTGAGAGACAACATAGAAAGATGACATAGAAAATACTTTTGATGACGTTGAAAGTTGAATATTTTTAAGTACGTAGAAAGTCTTTTTGTTTTTTTTTTCACTTATTGACACTTTCCACGTCGGTCCCGGATGAACCGACTTGGAAAGTCTTTTTGTTTTTATTTTTTTTCACCCAAAAATTCACTTAATTTGAAATTTGTCATTGGCAGGATTCAAACCCAAGATTTTAGAATTGAAAACCGATACTCCAACCACTAAACTACTATAATTTTCTCGATAATAACTTATAAATAAATTATATTTATATACAAATAAATATATATCCATGTAAATATATATTTATTTGTATATATTTTCTGGAAAGTATTTTTAAATATTTTTTCACTCAAAAATTCATTTAAGTTAAAGAATTGTCACTAACGAGCATTTGAACCTAGTATTTTAGAGTTGAAAGTTAATATTTCAACCACTAAACTACTAATTTTTTTTTATAATAACTTACAAATAAATTATATTGGTATTTTTCGATTGAGGGTAGAAGTGGGATTGACTTTCGCTTGAGTGAAAATATGTTAAAGCTCACTGGAAATTCACTCGCTCAAGCCTCGCTTGAGCGAAAATTGGTATTTTTTGCTTGAGAGCGAATGACGCGTTTCCCAAATTTATTTTATATCATTATATAAATAAAATTATAAAGATTATATTCTGTCATTTTACAAACTCATATAAAGATACTTGCTCACAAATTTAGCATCAAATTTTGAAAACCCACTCGACACACACTTTCACCTTCGAGTGTGCCCTCACATCCAACATATAAATATATAACTATATAAATATATCAAAAAATATAAATATATTTGTATTTATATATTTACACTGATATATATTTATTTGTATATAAATATAATTTATTTGTAAGTTATTATTAGAAAGTTCTAGTAGTTTAGTGGTTGTAGTATCAGTCTCCAACTCTAAGATATCGGGTTCGAATCGAATCTTGTCGATGACAATTCTCTTAAAAAATTAATAAAGTTCTAAAAAATATAATATAAAGAGATGGGGAGACCTAATAAAAATGTAATATAAAGAGAGGGGGACTTCTAGATAAATAAAGGAAGATAAAGGGGTGTTAAATAAAAAAAATTATTGATTTGAAAAATCATACTGTGTAATAACTCTGTTTTGATGAGTTTGAGTCTGTAATATTAGAGTATAAGATAGCCGGTACATAGTCTACTCTTTAGAAGCTTCAAAAACTCATATTTATCAAAAAGACTCGGGTTTAATCGATTAAATCACCAGATAATCGATTATTACAGTGAAAAAAACAATTTTCTGTATCAGCTCACTGTGATAATCGATTAACACACCTGTTAATCGATTAACAGGGCATATAATCAATTAAACCAGTGCGTTTTGGGGTTCTGTTGATTTTAGCTCTGTAATAATCAATTAACACTTGATTTAATCGATTATTTCAGTCAGATTTGGATTTTGAACTTCAAATTAAACCTATTTTCGAAAACCCTAATCTCAATACTCTAAGTTTCGAAAATCCTCAATTCCCAAACCCTAATTCATCTACTTAAGGTTCTCGAAGGCTCTCAGAAAATTGAACAACATTTTTCAAACAAAAGTTAAGAGTTGTGATTGCCAGAGAACGGTTTGTTGGAGGAAAAAGGGGCTTTTGGAACTTGGTGTGGGCTAGAAGCGATAAGAATCACTAAGTGGAGTTCTTAGTGGATTGTGTGTTGTGCCGTCTTTAGGGAAAGTTGTTCTTCATCTCTTGTGGGACTCAAGAGAGGTGTTTTCATTACTTTATCTTTTCTATTGTTATCTGTTTGCAATAACTTTGATTATAGTGATAGCGTTAATCCTCTGTTTGAGTTATTAGTAACTGGACGTAGGGTCTTTTGATCCGAACCAGTATAAATCTTTTGTGTAAGACTCTATCTCTATCCTATTTACGTTTACACAGAATTTCAATCGGTAAAATTTGGGGTAAATTTTTAAAACCTAATTTTTGTTAAGAAACCAATTCACCCCCCTCTTGGTTTTTGTCCGTTCACGCAAACATTCCACTACGCGATTTCGAAAGAGTCATATGAATAAGATGCAGTAGCATATGTGAGGATGTTTATTTGAGAATGTTAAGACACTTTTAAACAGATTTTATTTTATGAATTTCTCTTTTAATTTTAAATATTTAATTCATTTTAATTAGGTGTGATGTCTAATCCCATATGAAACCCTCCAACCTTAACAATCAACTAAATTAATTACTATGTTTGGCTAGTCGTATGTTTATGACAAGGATATAACTATACGTTGAGAGTACATATACGGGAGAAATATCATGATAAGATTTTTTGATACAGGAATACGATTATTCTAAATATATATAATATATAATATATACATTTTAAAAAAATATATACAAATATATAAGACGTAATAATATATAATTGCAATTCTCTAAATCTAAATAAAAATCGTTTTGAATTTACTAAAATAAAATCATTTTTAAATAATTATTATCATAAATTTATTTTTATTATTTACACATTGAAAAACGAGGTTATCAATGTTATTCTTTTTCGAAAGAAAATTTTCACTTTTAGTTTATTAAATGGTTATATTTATTAATGAATTAAATTTGAAAGTTACTTTTTTAAATCTAGATTGTAAGTTTGAAGGAAATTTTTTTAAAAAAAGATTAATGATTTAGAATATTTGATAATTCATTGTACGAACTCTTATCTAATCCCCATGCTTATTTATTCATCATGGAATATTTTTTATTTTTAAATGATATTTTTATATATAAATAAGTATTGTAGCTCAATGTTATCTAACTAATATAGAAATTGAAATTTGATGAGTTTGGGAGGAAGTAATAAAACGTATGCATGTTGGTGGATTAAGTGTTAGAAATGTTTGAGCAACAAATATTTCTCGTTAACAAATTTATATGGAATTTCTTGCCATACTAAAGTATTTTAATATCCCTTAATTACATTTTTCAGTTTACAACACATTTTTTAGATGAACTCTATGGAAACTCAAATTCCCAAAAACATTTTAATATTTTATTTTACAAGTTTTTCATTCAACATTATTCACTGATAATAAAATATTTTTGTGGTTTAACCCTTATGCATAAGATATATTCTAATCAAGTTGAAATCGTTTTCATGTTTTAAGGGATTGTCTTCGTTTAAACGAATTGCGAATTTACAAATGACCCTTACTCCTAGTTCACTATTAGAAAAATGGTTAATAGTGACCGAAATTAGTAACCGAAAAATTCAGTCACTGATAGTAACTGAATTAGTGACTGATTTCCGCTTTATATTTAGTGACTAAAATTTTAGTCACGGAAATCGGTCACTGATTCGGTCACCAAATCAGTCACTAATTCGGTCACTACTAGAAACTGGTTAATAGTAATCGAAATTAGTGATCGAAAAATTCAGTTACTAATAGTAACTGAATTAGTGACTGATTTCTCTTTTTATATATAGTGACTGATTTAGTAACTAAAATTTCAGTTACTAAACAAATAATATATAAATTAGTGACCATTTTTTATTTATATAAATAATTTTTAAAAATATTTTAATAATATATTAAATATAAATCTACTTAATAATTGATAAAAATTTTAATAACATCATAAAAAATTTAAAAAATAGTTTATTAACTTATTAAATAATTTAGTAATATAATTATTTGATTTTATTTTTTAATTTAGTATGTGAATAAAAAATTAAAATTAATTATTAAATTAGTCACTGATTCGATCATTAAAGTAATTATTAATTTAATTTCTTATATATATATATATAATCAATGATTAAATTAATTATTAACTTAGTCTCTTTTTGATATATATATATATATATATATATATATATATATATATTACTTTTATGTTAATAAAAATGTATTTCAATGTATTTATAAAAAAAATTATTTTAATTATTGAATTGATATTTCAAATTTATATTAATATTTTAAATAATTAGTAATTGGATAAATATTTTAAGTTTATATTAGTATTTTTATAAAAGTGTAAAGATTAAGTGAACTTATTTTAAAATTTAATTAAACATAATAATATAATATACTATTAACCATAAATATGTGAAGATTTAGTTAGAAATTAATTTTAAGTTTTATCGTTTTTATTTAAAAAAATTGTTAAAAAAATCAAAATAATTAATTAAAATAAAGAATTTTAATTTAATAAATGTGTTAATATTATTAGTTATTGGAGAATTAAATTTATAATAATAATTATATAAAATTATAGAATTAATAAAATTTAAATTATTAGTATTTTTTTAATCATGAAGCTAAAATTTGA